GGTCATTTATTAAGTACCGTGCCAGCAACGGTATGGGCTGCTTTACCTCCATGACCTTATTGAATCCTCATAGCAGTCTTATGAGGTCTATATTTCTTTATTCATTTTGCATGTGAAGAAATAGAAGGTAAATGACTTGTTCAAGGTCATTCTGTTATCAGGTGGCAAGAGATGGGCATGAAAACCAGATCTTCTACCTATATGTCTTTCCACTTCAACCAAAGGAATCATTGAAGAGAATTGTTTAGAGCTATGAACTAAACTTGAGTAATGCTTTTAAAAGAAAACATTAATGTCCTAATGAATGGACAGCCATCAAATTTCAAATCTCACGTTGGCAGCGGGGAAAGAAGCCACCTGTCATGTGCCTTTACCTCCCCAACTTTTCCACCAAAATAGTCCTTGTAACCACAAAGAAGTAGGCACAAGGGATCTATGAGGAGAGAATAATTTTGGACTCTTTGATTTTATCTTAAAAAGTTTGTAGGGATGTCATTATATTCCACATATGAGTAAGAAAAAATATTTTAAGTTATTAATACATCAGGAAAAGTATTATACTCTATGGAGATGTTTTGTGATTTCCTAAACCCATCATAGTTTGAAAAGGAGGTAGGTATGACAAGGATGTATAAGAAAGAAAGATATGCTTTTATACATCTAGGTGCACTCTCTCTCTCTTTCACTCTCACTCTATCTCTCTTCATGTATATACCTTTCTCTAAAAGCTCTGTATATCCAAGAAGGATGCTCTTTTTTATTTTTAGGATATTAGACATTTTCTTTTTTTTATGATAAGACAAAAAGTTAAGGCAACCAAAACTTACAATGCACCTGCCATGGGGCAGGCAAAGAGGGAAGGGCTTTACATGCGTTATTTAATGTAATTCTCACAGAAACCCTCTAGAGTAGAAAGTATTCCCAACTCTCCAGATGAGGCAAATTGGAGCTCAGAGAGCCTTAATGACTTTCCTCAAAATTCAGTGGTGAAGGCAGGATTGCATTCCAGGTCTGGCTGGCTCCAAAGCCCTGTTGAGTTGACACTCCCCTCCCAAACAAGGAAGACTGGTCTGTGGCTTTTGCATTTCACCCTGGTTCTACAGTCATTGGGGGACTTGCTTAAATGAGTCAGAGTCTTCAAAGTATTCCCAAGTCCTCCTTCCTAGAGAAAGTTGGGCTAGAGGAGGCTGGAGCAGGGAGAGGAAGGGAGAGAAAAAGAGAGAGAGTTGGCGAGGGAGAGAGAGGTTGAAGATCTCAGCTGGATGCTGAGGGTTCCTAAGCCCAACTTCCCCATAGTTGAACTGGCATTTGCAGGCCAACAGCTTCTAGTAATCCATTTTTATTTAATTAATTGTGAAACTACTGAAAAATAGCAAGGGTGTTCTGGTTCAGAAACCTTCCATTATATATGGCAGTGCTTTTGCTTCGGATTCATAAAACCAAATGCCCTGCCTCGAGATAAGTGAGCATGTAAACCAGGGTAGGTGGGAAGAAACACAACGTCACATGTAAATTCTGCATTTGTTCTCAAAGCAAAACTCTACTGTATTTGCAATCGGGATGTTATTTAGTGGATATTTGAAACTTCTCAGGGTTTTCTTTTATTATGTGCTGTTATAGTCATATAAAAGAGTGCGCATAACATATAAATTACACAGCATAACAATAAAATGAACACTCATGAGCCCTGATTACTGACATTAGCAATACCATTGCATCAGCCCTACTAGAATGCAAGCTCTGTGAGGGCATGGATTTTTGTCCGTTTTGTTCACCATTGTATCCCCAGGACCTAGAGTGGTGCCTGATATGTAATAGGAGCTTAATAAATATTTTTAAATAAATGCATAAATAAATCCTTTTTCCTCATATCATCACCCCTAGACTCACCTCAGAGGTAACCACTGTCCTATATTTGGGGTTTATCATTCCCTCATATTTTGATGGGTTTTCATATATACATTCCCAAATAACATGCAGTTTGCTTTTGCTTCTTTTTGAACTTTATGTGATGGAATCATATTGTATGTATGCTATTATGAATTATGTCTTCTACACAACATTAGCATGTCACATTCACCTATGTGTAGCTTTGTTCCATTCCTTGTTGTTGCTGAATTGTATTTTATTAGATGAGTATGCCATAATTTATTCATTCTTTCTCCTATCAGTGGATGTTTATCATTTCTGATTTTATAAACAAAACTTCTATCACCATTCCTGTATATGCCTCCTGGTACACATGTGAATAAATTTCTCTAGCATATAAACCTGGGAGAGAAACTGCAGTTAGAATTTTCATTTCCAATACCCAAAGGTCAGTCCATGAGTCAGAACTGCAGTGTGCCCTTTGTCCACACTAGATCCAAATCAGTGAGAGTGCTATCCAGAGTATTTTGCCAGAGAGAGGCGGAGGGGAAGGAGAGACTGGTCTGGTGAGGCCAAGAGTTATTATCTCAGGCCTCTAGTCAAAGTGGGTTGTGATTAGTAAAAGTCCAGATTCTGAAATCCCCTTAAATATTTCTCTTCCTCCTCTTCCTCCATTATAGCTATTTTTGTGCAAGATGCACTTTAGTAAACTTGTATATAATAAACAAAATGTCGATGAGTTTTTTCAGTCATTCATTGATTGTAAATTTGACTAATTAAACAGTTTTAATTGTATGTTAAATTTTCGTATGGATTAAAATGTCTATTTCTTTAAGAAAATGTTTTACTATTAAGAGCACTTAACATGATATCTACCCCCACAGCAAAACTGTAAGTGCACAACACTATATTGTTAACTATAGGCACAATGCTGCACAGCAGATCTCTGGAACTTGTTCATGTTTCTTAACTGAAACTTTATACCCATTGAACAGCAACTCCTCATTTCTATTTTTTAAAAGCCCTTTACAAAAAGGACCTCTTATTTACTTTCTGCTTGTTTCCATTTTGTTTATCTGATATTTATTTCATAACCATATCATAATAATTATCATTTATCATCATCTGATTTACCCATACATACCTTTGTGTCTTTCAAAAAATAATCCTTTCTTTGAGGTGCTCCCTCATCTGTAGCAGTCTGCACTCTGCTTATGATATCATTTACTATGTTATTTTACAGTTGTTTACTTTCTATTTTTCTTCTCTGCTAGGTGGTAGTTGCTTAGGGGCAAGGACAGTATCTCAATCATCACTATATCCCCGGCACCTATTCCTATGCCTGGTCCACAGGGTTAGGTGCTAAGAGTTGAGTTGAACCAACCTACCTTATCTAAACCTTCATTTTCATAACATGGTTTGCCAGTGATTGAGATTCACACTTTGAAGTCAGACTTACCTAGGATGGAATCCTGGAATTTCCAGTTACTAGATGTGTGATCTTGGACAAGTTTACTCAATTGTTCTGAGCATCAGTTTCCCCTTCTGCAATATAGGGATGATACATAGCTACTTTGCAGGGTTATTAGGAAAATTAAATGAGGTGATGTATATGAAATGGCCTGGCACATAGAATACCTAAGTACATGTCCTTCTGATTTTATTGGAGCTGTTTGTGCTAGTTACAGAAGTCAAAAAAGTAGGGAGAGGAGGAAGATCCTTGTGAAGAATTTTTGCTTCTTCTCCTTGTTTCAGGACTGAGGATGGGGTCACTGCTTTCACCCAAGGAAATGACAATTTTAACCAAAAGAATGCCATTCTTAGCATTTAGCTGAATTGTATATTGGAAGCCAGCTCCTTTCCTGTGGAGCTTATAACCCTGCTAGCCTAGATTCGGTGGACAGACTCCTACTGGCTTTCCAGTTAGGGTAGGAGATGGAAAGCTTATGGAGAGAAAAGATAGGCCACCACAGCCAGCCACTGTTTTGCATATCAGCAGAACTTTTCAAGTGCTTTCTGTTGTACTTGGGACTTGAATAAAGGCTGATATTTGTGCCTTGAAGATGAAGTGTAAAGTGTAGCCTGAGTGAAAGCTTTCTTTGCTCTTGCCCTGCCAGGGCTGCTCACTTGGGGTGGCTTTCTTGGATTCTCATGACTGGGCTGAGCATGATAACCAAAGGGCCATTGGTAGAAAGTAAGTATGAGTAGCAAGAAGACAATGGGATAGTGGAAACTCTGTTGTACTTAGAGTCTTTGGAGTCAGATAGTCCTGGGCTTAGATGTCCAATTGTCCTGCACTTCTCCTCTCTGAGTCTTACTTTTTTCATCTGTACAATGGATATAATAATTAGAAGATAAGCTTGTCTCACAGAGTTGTTGTGAGGTATTGAAATCACCCAACACTACAAACAGGCTCCCATTATGGCTTATTTTCCTTTTCTCTTTAGTAAGCAAGAATAAAATATAGCAGTTGCATTCCTGTGGATGAGAGTATAGGTGATTGTCATCTATCCGAAGCAGATTAACCCAGGACATCACTTAAGTTTTGTTTAACGCTTAGGCATAGGACATAGGAAAGTCAAAAGTTTACCTTTGGGTCATAAGAACCATATTCCATTTGTTCAAACTTGAATCAACTACCTAATTGATTAATGAGAAACTTACAATTACCCTTCCATGAAGGTTTTAGGATTGGCTTTCTGGCCCTTCCCCTTCACATCCATCTGGAAGAACTCAGACATACATCTTTTTGGAGACAAACAGACAAGGTGACTTCTGAAGCTCCGTCCTTGCCCAAGGAACAAATGAGTCTTTTAACGGCCATGTTTGTTGACGATAGCCTAAAAGATGTCCAGCATCACCATGTATCATTTCTCAACAAAAGCCTCAAACATTGGGATTCTGCTAGTTTATGTTGTAGAATGGTGGCGAGGGGATGTCCATGTGATCTAGAGAGACTCCTAAGGAAAGGGAGGGAATGGGGACAAAAGACCAATGAAGACTGGTATAACAGCACTAATCACAATCCTTCACTTGTGTATTTGCTCCAAGGGCCTTTTATCCCATATATTATTTCTAATATTTCTGCCACCCACTGACATGTGTTGCATTGCTTTTTTTTGTCTTTCCAGTTTGGAGACTGCCAGGGACCATGTTTTGCCCATCGACTATTACTTTCCGCCCCAGAAGACCTGCCTGATCTGTGGGGATGAGGCTTCTGGCTGTCACTATGGAGCTCTCACTTGTGGAAGCTGCAAGGTCTTCTTCAAAAGAGCTGCCGAAGGTAAAGTGTCTTACACACTCCCTTCTATTTCCCTTTCTCTTTTATCTTCCAGAGAGAAACACCAACCTTCCAGGGCCCAAGATTTTATCATCTCAGAGACAACGTCATTGGCAGGGCCCTGTTAAAGAACCTGTGAGCCTAAAGAAGCACATTTTCAGACTTGCTGGCCCCCTGGCTTCAGCAGCCTTTGTTGTATAGGCAATGTAGGCAGTGAAGGTGGTCCCAGCTGGTGCTTGGGGCTCAGTGGGTCCTAGAAATGAAAGAAAATTAATGTTTTGAAAAGATTTAATTTTCTTCCTGCTTGTTTTCCACTCTGCTGCCTAGTGAGGGGAAAAATTGTCCTTATTAGAGAGGTTAGAAGTGGAGAAACCCCAACTGAGTCCCCAGCCTCTTCTGTGTGGTGAATGAGACTGTTCCTTAGACCATCAGTCTCTGCACCTGCTCCCTTCTGCCGCTGCCTCCTTGGCCCTGTCTTTGCATTAATAGTTCCCAGGCAGGTAAGAACTCAGAGTGAAGAAACACTTTTATTTTCCTCTCCAAAGACCTGTCCTCAGGGCCTGCCCATTGGTCCAGAACCTTAAGCTAAGTAGCATCTTATATCTGGCTAAATGGTTCCAAGCCCTGGTTCCTTACTCTTATTTAGATTAGAACAACTCATGTCTGCTCAGCCCCCGGAGATGCTCAGCCTACACTCTACAGCAGGAACTCCTATTTCCAGATGTCTTATACATGTTAGTCTCTCCTTCCTTCCTAACCACCCTGGGCTTAAGCCTCCTATTCATCCACTTCACTCCCCACCCTGTACTGAAGGCTTCCTTCTCAAAGGGACATTGTGAGTACCCCTTAGACAGAGATACTCTACTCTGGAACCAGACCTAGTTGTTAAACACCAGCATCCATCCCTGCCCCCATTTTCCACCAGGGAGGTACTTCCTGCCAAGGCCTTTATCCTTCCCTCTCACTGGCCTGGAAGTGCTAAGTTCCAAGACAGAATAAAAACAGAACCTTTTATTGCTTAAGGGCTATAAACCTGGAGGACAGTCTTAAAATATAGGAATGTATGGCCACATCATTCACCAGGAATGTGCTGAGACTTACCAGAGGATGGCAGAAGCACCAGAGAGTTTGTGGTGAAAAGGTAGAAAGTGGGTGTGCTTTAACTGGCCTCCTCATTGACAGCCAATCATAATGATGAGTGCAGTTTCATCATTTTGGCTGGGTGGCAGGAATACCTGTGAAACAGAAAGCTGTCGTGTTGTTTTATTCCAGTCCCCCAAGCAGTAAGGAGGCAACTAGCACTTGGTATCACCGAAAACGTACTGCATGTTCCACTCATACCACCAAGTGACCCATTGCTACTGTTCACGCTGGGCTAGTATGAAGTCTAGGGCCTCAGTACCTGGGCCTAGGCAGTTTGGAAAGATCCTGAGAGCAGTGCATTCCTTTCTTAAAAGTACTCACTAAATGATGGCTGTCAGAAAAGGAAGTAAGGAGCAGCTCCAGGGACTTCAGATCAGCTCCACGGACTTCCCCATCTTCCCCAGTCAGACCCTGCCCCATACCCTATAGTCCAGCAGGCCCTGTCTGTAAAGCAGGGAATGAACCTGAGCACTCATCTAGAGCGGGTGTGTCAGCAAGCCCAGGCACCACAGGCCATATCAGATGGCAAAAGAGTTCAATACACATACACACACACACCAAAGCAAAAACAATTATCGATGTTTTCTTTCTCCTCCCATCTGTAACGCTGGGTGGCTTGATTTTACTGCCATCATTATCCCTATTTGAAGACAGAGGGCTGTCTTATTACCCGAAGAGAACATTTATTGATTTGGTTTTTTTCCATTTTTACAATGCATCTTTATTGCCCAAATGGCCTTTCCGAGGATGGTTCTGAATCTGTCTTGTTGAAATTTGGAATTACACCTGTGGTGGACAGAATAGGAGCACAAATCTTTCTCTCCCTCATTTGTTTATTGTCAGTTAACTCAGACTGAGTATTCAGAATGTTCATTATTACTTTATTCATAGTTTCAGAAATCTCTAGACTAGGCACAAGCACAAAATTTAATAGCCTGACATGTAAGGCTTTAATGCTATCATTGGTACAGGGCTCAGCACAGAGTCAATTGTAATCTGGCCAGGTTTTCTTGTGGAGGAGGAAGGGTAGGGGAGAGCCCCACATTTTCTCATTGTCAGTAATGCTAAGGGGTTAGAGTGAGGGTGAGGCTGGACAAGGAAGAGTCTGTGTATTTTTCAGTGAAAAAGTAATGGTAGTAGGCTGTGGGGGTAAAATCACTAAAATCTGGCTGAGGGAAAGTTAGTGAAAGACTGTGTGTGTGTGTGTGTGTGTGTCTGTGTGTGTGTGTGTGTGTGTGTGTGTGTGTCTGTGTGTGTGTTTGAAGGGTTGATCTGTGTGTTAGAAACAAGCACGAGGAGAAACAGCTGGCTTGAGGGATGTGTAGGATGAGTGGGAAGGTGAAGGGGTTGTTGGATGCTACCTAAGAGGCCAGGAAGTCAAAGGAAAGCAATGCCCATACATAGGGGTAAAGGCTCAGACAGATTTAGTTGTGCAGCCTTAGATTAGAAATTTTGCCCTTTGGACCTCAGTTTTCCCTATTTGTAAAGTAGGGAAGTTAAACTAGATGTTTCTAAAATGCCCTTCCAGCTGAGACTTTTTGTGACAGTTCTACAAATTACAGACATCATCATTATTTCAGCAAACACACATGCATTTATACGTGTATGCACTTTTGGCTCTGCCTTCCTAGAATATGACAAATCCCAGATCCTAATCAATTAAAAATCAATCTTCAGGTGGGGAGAGAGCTAGTCGAGAGAGTGCACTATGGATGACCTGGGTTAAAATCCAGGACTCTGCGATTTTCCTTGGTGACCATGGCTGGGTAACTTCCTTTCTTTTCCATTTTCTCATCTGGAAAATCAGGATATGAATACCCATTTCTACCTCATCATGTTTCAAAGAGGGTTAATTAATCCGTCATGTGCATTATGTGCTCAAGAATTTACTATTTTTCAGACATTTTCTAGTAAAACATTGGAGATTGTATGTCCATTTGTTTTGTACACATGGAGCACTGTTTGGTACACATCATAAAATTGAAACTGTAGTTTACATTCTGAACTCAAAGAATTACACCATCCTCACTGATGTTTACAATAGGTCCCAATTTAGTTTCCTTGGCAAATTTTATATAAGTATGGCTTTGATTCTCTCTCTCACCCTAGGATTTTGTGAGGGAAGAAATGTAAGTGAACCCTCATGAATGTTACCTCTTGCTTGGAGTCTTGCAGAGAGTTTTTGGTGCATGTCAGTGTCCTCTTCACTCCCTGACTTTTCGAGTAACATTTCCTAGGGGCAAAATAACTCTGCTAGGACGATCTGCTTGCAGCTTCAACAAAGCCTTGATCAGGTATCTTTGGCCAAGGAGTTGACTGATCCTGACTTTGTGAGTCCTAGAGATCTTTTCACAAAGGTTCTCTTATCTTTCTGTCTCTGGTTTCCTTAAATGTGTCATCCAGACTTTAGATTAGGGATTGGTAAACTTTTTTTATAAGGGGTCAGGCAGTAAATATTTTAGGCTTTGCAGGTCATATGTTCTCTATCTCGACTACTCAACTCTACCTTTGTAGTAAGAAAGCAGCCATAGATAATATGTAAACTAATCAGTGTGGCTATGTTCCAGTAAAACTTTATGGGCACTAAAATTTGAATTTTATTTAATTTTCACATTCTATTAAATACTATTTTTCTTTTGTAGGTCTAGTAGGATTCGGCTGTGAATCCATCTGGGCCAGGGTTTTTTTTTGTTGTTGTTGGGAGACTTTTTTTATTACTGTTTCAGTCTCACTACTCCTTGTTGGTCTGTTCAGGATTTCTATTTCTTCCTGACTCAGGATTGGGCGGTTGTCTGTTTCTAAGAATTTATCCATTTCCTCTAGGTTTTCTAGTTTGTGTAGAGGTTTTCGTAGTAGGCACAGATAATATTTTGTATTTCTATAGTATGAGTTATAATGTTTCCTTTTTCATTTCTGATTGAGTTTATTTGAGTCCTTTCTCTTCTATTTCTGGTTAATCTGGCTAGTGGTCTATCAATTTTATTTGTCTTTTCAAAGAACCCACTTTTTGTTTTGTCGATCCTTTGTATTGTTTCTTTGGTTTCCATTTTGTTTATTTCTGCTCTGAGCTTTGTTATTTCTTTCCTTCTGCTAGCTTTGGGTTCAGTTTGTTCTTCTTTTTCTATTAATAGTTCCTTGAGGTGTGACATTAGATTGTTAATTTGTGGTCTTTCTGTCCTTTTGGTGTAAGCATTTGAGGCTATGAACTTTCCCCTTAGCACTGCTTTTTCTTTATCCCATAGATTTTGGAAGCTTGTATTACCTTTGCCATTCAATTTGAAAAATTTTTTGATTTCCATTTTGATTTCATCAATAACCCAAGGATTCTTCAGCAGCAGGTTGTTGAATTTCCACATATTTGTGTAGTTTTTAAAGTTCCTCTTGGAATTGATTTCTAGTTTGATTCCACTGTAGTCCGAGAAGATACATGATATGAATACAAGTTTTCTAAATTTGCTGATACTTGTTTTGTATCCTAACATACGATCTGTCTTAGAAAATGTCCCATGTGCTGATGAGAAGAATGTATATTCTGCAGTTTTGGGGTAGAATGTTCTGTAAATGTCTGTTAGGTCCATTTTTTCTAGAGTCCCATTTAAGTACAGAGTTTCTTTGTTGATTTTCTGCCTCAATGATCTGTCTAGCTCTGTCAGTGCAGTGTTAAAGGCCCTGGCTATTATGACGTTGCTGTTTATTTCTTTCTTTAGATATAGTAGAATTTGCTTTATGAATCTGGGAGCTCCAATGTTAGGTACCTATATATTTAAGGTTGTTACATTTTCTTGTTAAATTGATCCTTTATCATTATGTAATGACCATCTTTGTCTTTTTTTACCGTTTGTGATTTAAAGTCTATTTTA